TCCCCCAAAATCCCCTCCCCCCCGGGGCTCCGCCCCCTCGGCCCCGCCCCCCGCGAATAAACCGGATTCGGCCCCTCCCCCCACGTGTGCGGAGTTTGGGGGGGGAGGGGGAGGGGGAGGGGCGGCTCCACAGAAAATTCCGACATTCCAACGGAAAACTCTAAAAATTCCAACGGAAAAACCCCAAAAATTCCAACGGGAAAACCCCAAAATTCCAATGGGAAAACCCCAAAAATTCCAATGGAAAAGCCCAAAATTCCACCCCAAAAATTCCAACAGGAAACCCCAAAAATTCCAACGGGAAAACCCCAAAAATTCCAACGGGAAAACCCCAAAAATTCCAATGGAAAAGCCCAAAATTCCAACGGGAAAACCCCAAAAATTCCAATGGAAAAGGCCAAAATTCCACCCCAAAAATTCCAACAGGAAACCCCAAAATTCCAACGGAAAAGCCCAAAAATTCCAACAGGAAACCCCAAAATTCCAACGGGAAAACCCCAAAATTCCACCCAAAAATCTCAAAATTCCACCTGAAAATCCCAAAGTACCACCCCAAAATCCTGGAATTCCACCTGAAAAAACCCCAAAATTCCAATGGAAAACCCCAGAATTTCAATGGAAAACCCCAAAAATTCCAAAAAAAACCCCAAAACTCCACTCAAAAATCTCAAAATTCCACACGAAAATCTTGGAATTTCACTTGAAAAAACCCCAAAATTCCAACGGAAACCCCCAAAATTCCACCCCAAAGTCCCACAAATTCCAAGGGAAAACGCCAAAATTCCATCCCCAAATCCCCAAAATTCCACCCAAAAACCCAAATTTTTTTTTGCGTTTATTCCTGGATTTTTTTGTCGTAAATTCCCATATTTTCGGGGCAGAATTCCCAGATTTTCAGGGGCAAATTCCCGGATTTTTGCGGTAAAATCCCAAATTTTTTGTGATGAATTTCTGGATTTTCGGGGTGAAATCCCAGATATTTTTGCCATAAACTCCCAGATTTCTTCGCAGTAAAATCCCAATTTTTTGGGCGTTTATTGCCGGATTTTTTGCAGTGAATTCCCGGATTTTCGGGGCAGAATTCCCGGATTTCCGGGGCGAATTCCCGGGATTTTGGGGCTACTCGCCCTCCTTGTCCTCGCCGTGGGTGATGACGTAACAAATGTTCTTGTAGTCCACGTTGCCGGCCACGTCCGGCGGGAAGGCGGCCCACATGTTCTTGATCTGGGAATTTGGGAATTCCCGGAATTCCCGGAATTTTTGGGGACATTTAGGGGGAAAATTGGGGATTTTGGGGGGATTTTTTTGGGTTTTTTGGGGGATTTTTTGGGATTTATTTGGGATTTTTGGAGGATTTATTTGGAATTTTTGGGGGATTTATTTGGGATTTATTTGGGATTTTTTGGGGGATTTTTTGGGATTTTTAGGGATTTTTTGGGGTTTTGTTTGGGAATTTTTGGGGGATTTATTTGGGATTTTTGAGGGATTTTTTGGGGGGATTTATTTGGAATTTATTTGGGAAATTATTTGGATTTATTTGAGATTTTGGAGGGATTTTTTGGGGGATTTATTTGGAATTTTTGGGGGATTTATTTGGGATTTTGGGGGATTTTGGGGGGATTTTTGGGGATTTTTTGGGAATTTTTGGGTATTTGGAGATTTTGGGGGGATTTATTTGGAATTTTTGGGGGATTTTTTTGGGATTTTATGGGGATTTTGGGGTGAATTTGGGGGGTTTTGGGGTGGATTTTGGGTGAATTTTGGGGCGGATTTGGGGTATTTTTGGGTGAATTTTGGGGCGGATTTTTGGGTATTTTTGGGTGAATTTTGGGGCGGATTTCGGGTGTTTTTGGGTGAATTTTGGGGTGGATTTTGGGGTATTTTTGGGTGAATTTTGGGGCGGATTTTTGGGTATTTTTGGGTGAATTTTGGGGCTGATTTTGGGGTATTTTTGGGTGAATTTTGGGGCTGATTTTGGGGGATTTTGGGGTGAATTTTGTGGGGGATTTTGGGGTATTTTTGGGTGAATTTTGGGGCTGATTTTGGGGTATTTTTGGGGGATTTTGGGGCTGATTTTGGGGTATTTTTCGGTGAATTTTGGGGCGGATTTCGGGTGTTTGGGGTGAATTTTGGGGCGGATTTGGGGGATTTTGGGGCTCTCACCTCCTCGGGGGTGAAGCGGTCGCACTGCGTCGTCAGCAGCTCCTCCAGGCTGGGGGGGGGAGGGGTCACCCCAAAATCCGCCCCTCCCCCACCCCAAATCCGCCCCTCCCCCACCCCAAAATCCGCCCCTCCCCCACCCCCCAAAATTTCAGGGATATTTTGGGGTAAATTTTGGAGGTTTCTGGGAATATTTTGGGGTAAATTTCAGGGATTTTGGGGATATTTTGGGGTAAAATTCGGGGATTTGGGGGAATATTTTGGGGTAAATTTCAGAGATTTTTAGGAATATTTTGGGGTAAATTCCAGGGATTTCTGGGAATAATTTAGGGATACTTTGGGGTAAATTCCAGGGATTTTGGGGATATTTTGGGGTAAATTTTGGAGATTTTCAGGAATATTTTGGGTTAAATTCCAGGGATTTTGGGCAATATTTCGGGGATATTTTGGGGCTATTTTGGGGTGAATTTGGGGAATTTCGGGTGCGTCCTTTGGGGATATTTTGGGGTAAATTTCGGATATTTTCAGGAATATTCTGGGGTAAATTCCAGGGATTTTGGGCAATATTTCGGGGCTATTTTGGGGTGAATTTGGGGTGAATTTGGGGAATTTTGGGTGCGTCCTTTGGGGATATTTTGGGGTAAATTTCGGATATTTTCAGGAATATTTTGGGTTAAATTCCGGGGATTTTGGGGATATTTTGGGGTAAATTTCGGATATTTTCAGGAATATTTTGGGTTAAATTCCGGGGATTTTGGGGCTATTTTGGGGTAAATTTCGGAGATTTTCAGGAATATTTTGGGTTAAATTCCAGGGATTTTGGGCAATATTTTGGGGCTATTTTGGGGTGAATTTGGGGAATTTCGAGTGCGTCCTTTGGGGATATTTTGGGGTAAATTTCGGAGATTTTCAGGAATATTCTGGGGTAAATTCCGGGGATTTTGGGCAATATTTTGGGGCTGTTTTGGGGCTATTTTGGGGTGAATTTGGGGAATTTTGGGTGCGTCCTTCGGGGATATTTTGGGGTAAATTTCGGAGATTTTCAGGAATATTTTGGGTTAAATTCCGGGGATTTTGGGGATATTTTGGGGTAAATTTCGGAGCTTTTCAGGAATATTCTGGGGTAAATTCCGGGGATTTTGGGCAATGTTCCGGGGCTGTTTTGGGGTGAATTTGGGGGATTTTGGGAGCCGCCCCCCCACTCACAAACTCTTCTTGATGGATCCTTTCCCGTCCGGGTCCAGCACCTTGAACGCGCCCATGATGACGTCCTCGGGGTCCGCCCCTGGGGCGGGGTCAAACGGGGCGGGGTCAAACGGGGCGGGGTCAAACGGGGCGGGGTCAAACGGGGGATTTGGGGCGTTTGGGGCATTTTGGGATGGAATTTGGGGTTTTTTTGGGGTGAGTTTTTAGTATTTCAATGTGAATTTTGGGTTTTTTTTCGGTTTGAATTTTGGGATTTAGGGATGGAATTTTGGGGTTTTTTTCGGTTTGAATTTTGGGGATTTGGGGGATTTTGGGATGGAATTTTGGGGGTTTTTTTTGGGGTGAATTTTTAATATTTCGGGGTGAATTTTTTGGGGTTTTTTTCAGTTTGAATTTTGGGGATTTCAGGGATTTGGCGATGGAATTTTGGGGTTTTTTGGGGTGAATTTTTAATATTTCAGGGTGAATTTTTTGGGGGGCTTTTTCCGTTTGAATTTTGGGGATTTGGGGCATTTTGGGCTGGAATTTTGGGGGTTTTTTTCTGGTTTGAATTTTGGGGATTTTGGGATGGAATTTTGGGGTTTTTTTTCTGGTTTGAATTTTGGGGATTTCGGGGATGGAATTTTGGGGTTTTATTCAGTTTGAATTTTGGGGATTTGGGGGATTTTGGGATGGAATTTCGGTTTTTTTTCAGTTTGAATTTTGGGGATTTTGGGATGGAATTTTGGGAGGTTTTTTCTGGTTTGAATTTTGGGGATTTTGGGGATTTTGGGATGGAATTTTGGGGTTTTTTTCCCGGTTTGAATTTCGGGGTTTTCGGGGATTTTGGGCTGGAATTTTGGGGGTTTTTTTGGGGTGAATTTTTAATATTTCGGGGTGAATTTTTTGGGATTTTTTTCAGTTTGAATTTTGGGGATTTGGGGCATTTTGGGCTGGAATTTTGGGGTGAATTTTTAATATTTCAGGGTGAATTTTTTGGGGGTTTTTTCCGTTTGAATTTCGGGGATTTGGGGCATTTTGGGCTGGAATTTCGGGGGTTTTTTTGGGGTGAATTTTTAATATTTCGGGGTGAATTTTTTGGGGGGGTTTTATCAGTTCAAATTTCGGGGATTTGGGAGGGAATTTGGGGTTTTCTGCCCACCCTTGAGCTTCTCCCCGAACATGGTGAGGAACACGGTGAAGTTGATGGGCCCCGAGGCCTCTTTGATCATCGCGTCCAGCTCCTCGTTCTTCACGTTCAGCCGGCCTGGCAGGGGGCGGGGCCAGCTCGGGACACGCCCCCCGGCCCCGCCCC